CTGTTGTTCTTCCCGGGTCTCTTCCAGGCCCCTCTCGCGGTGGAACCCCCTCTGGCGGCAATGTTCTCCTGTCTGGTGGTACCGTTAAAGTAAGTTTTAAGTGTAAAATTAACTTTTATTGATTTCTATTAAGAATTTGATTTAAACTATTGGCACCATTTACTAAATTTAAAAAGAAATTAATTCAAGTAATGATACATATCTGAAAGCTGTCAGTACAAAAAAATGAAAAGCTTTGAGTGATAGATTTCCATTTCAATAGGAAATGATAAGTGTTACTGCACACATCTACAGTTCTTACCATTGGGCCAATTGGTAGACTGTGAAGAATAGAGAAGAGATTGAGGTTGTGAATGGTTATAGCTTGCTTGGCTCCACAATCCACATTCTTGACACCAGCAGTCAGAAAATAAAAAGATGAATTTCTAGAGTATTGAGAAGCAAAGATGTCCGTCTAGAGACTAAGGTGCACCTGATCCAGGCCATGGTCTTTGTAATTACTTGCTATGTATGCATTAGAGAGCTGTACAATGACTAAGGGTGCCAGAGGAAAAATCAATGCCTTTGAGTTGTGCTGGAGTCTTGAACATATCATGGACTGCCAAGTAAACAAGTTTGTCTTGGAGAGGATGAAACAAAGTTTGTCCTTAGAGGCCAGGATTTTGAAGCTCTGCTCACTTGCTTTGGGCATGTGGCCAAGAGGGACCAATTTTTGGAGAAGGACATTATTCTTGGAAGGGTGAAAGAAAAGTGTGGGAGAGAAAAGCCTCACGTGAGATAGATTGATACAGTAACTAGGTGTATTGAGAGTCAGTGAGATTGACTCAGGACAGGACAGGCTTTAGAGTTGTTGCATATAGGGTCTCTATGAGTAGGAGATGACACCATAACACATTACAATAACAAAAACAACATATTCACTAATTGGCCACTGTTCGTAAGTTATAAGTTTGTGTTCAATTACAATTTATCACTCTCAGATATTTATACTTCTCGGTGTTTGCAAAAACCTTATGTAGAACTTTGTTGTTGTATTTGTATTCTATTGAGTGGGACCAACTCATCATTGACCATCCAGCAGGTTTTCAGAGGCAGTTAACTGCATGGGAGAATGCCCATCCTTCTCTCTTGCAGCAGTTGGTGGATGTTAATTGCACACCTTTAGGATAACAGCGCAGTTTCTCACCACTAGGCGAGGCAACTCTTATTAACCTTTAAGTTATTCCTTAGAAATGAAGGAAGCTCTGGTGGTCTAATCATACGGAGTAGTTGTGCTAATCCAAAGACAGGCTCTCTTTGGTGGTTTAAATCCACGAGGTCAGCTATGAGTGAGGTCCGATTCAGTGACAAAGAGTTTAGTTTTATTAATAAAAGCAATTGTTGTCTATAGCAGAATTTTATGGTAGAGAGAGATAAGGAAGCACTCATGTCTGTATAACATCCCTTATCAAGTAACCACAGACGATTCTCCTCTTAATTAGGAACTTTGAATCTAGCAGACATTAATTCACTTATACAAGTTTCATGGGAAAAAATGATTTGGACATGTTGCACTCCTACTATAATTAGTGTTAACTACTGCTTGTAAACAAACAATGCCACCAAAACAAGTACATTTTATGAGATTTTCTTAAACTATCTGCTTGTGAAGTAGTCAACATAACAACTATATTTCCTTTTTGTTATCATGGTTTTCAGCATATAAAAACTATTTACAGTGGTGACAAACTCATTTATTCTTTCCAACACCTATACATAGAACATTAAATAGGGAGATTGGAATAAAAGAATTTTATTAAAAGGAAGCAGGCACTTTTGACATTGGCACAAATATGAAAACAAAAATCATTACATATTTTTTCTTATTAAGCATATCTTAATACTACATTTTATTTTTTTAATTGAATTTTATTAGTTTTAATGAACATTTACAGAGATTTTGGGTTTTCATTTATTCATTGTTGCACTGTTAATACTACATTTTAGAAGTACTATCATGACTATTATAAACTTCCACTCCTGAGATTGGGAAGTAAAAGATTTTTAAATAAGCAAAGGTAAAAGACGCGATTTTCCTAGGTAGAAGGTTGCACTTGTGTATCAGCATTCTCAGATAGCAATTTTCTTTTATTTTTCACATACCAAATTTTTCACTAGGGGTTTCATTGCTAATTACTCATCAGGCAATGGATGGCTCTCAAATATGCTGCTAGCATGCTTAAATATATGAAATGTTCAGCTAAAAGGTACTCGGTAATAAGTAAAACTTAACACTAACTTCCCTCTCTTAAAGTACAAACATAGAGACAAAACGAATCTTGTGTATCACTTTTGATATAAATATCAATTCAAGTATTTCTTTTGAAATGATGTTTGTAAAACAAAATTAACCACATATTTAAATACATTTTTTGAATGGCAGAATATTCATTGAATATCCTTTGTTTTAATCATTCCTAGATTATAAAGAACACAATCTATCTTGAGTTCACATCATGTGTTTGATAATTCATGATTTCTTACTCACAAGCTTAAGTAATCATTTAGAAAAAAAAAACCATATTAACATCAAATGCATGAAGGACATTTCTCTACTTCTTATTTTGAAGAAAAACCTCAACAAGAATATTTTATTTTAAAAGTGCTATGTTCCAATGAAGGTATGAACTGCACATTAGTCTTCTGTACTTAATTTTCAGATGCATCCAATATATATAAGATGTTCACTGAGTTTTCACATGATGTGGAGTTGTATCATAATAGTCTTGAAAATGAATTCCCTTAGACATTGTTATCTTCATTATAGCACCATTCAAAGCATCATCTTCAATAAGGGTTATTAATCCATTGGCAATCATTGAAGGGCTAAAAAGAAAAGAAACATTGATACTGTGAAACTTAAGAATGAGTCACATTTTTTTTTATTTGCAATGCCAGAAATAAAAATATTTAGAGATCTACAAATTACATTAAAACAGAACATCTGAATTACAGTGGGTGATACATTCTAAAGTGTATTCCAGATCTAGCATGATTCTAGATAAATTATGTTTTGTAATTCCAGTCGTATTTCATTTCCGTGTGCTTCACTTTATCATTTTACAGATACTGCATTTTTTTTTATTAATAGACATTTACAGAAATTTTGGATTTCCATTCATTCACTGCCACACGTTTCTCCCTGCCCACCCCTCCCCACCAGTTTGCTCCCCTCTCCGAAAAGAAAAAGATTTAAAAAAGTCCTTCATTGGTATACAATTCCCCCATTTCTTCCGCCCCACCCCCCACCCTGAGTACACTTCTCTATGCAACCTTAATTCTGGATTCCTGTTCTAACCATAATAATCATATATCGCCTCTAATCTGTTCTTTCCCTCATCTGTTTCAATACAGTATACATAATTTATCCAATTTTTTCTCAGTTTTACCCCAACCCTGATGTCAGACACATTCTACAACAGTGGCACCATACAGTATTTGTCCTTTTGTGACTGAGATATTTCACTAGATACTGCACTTTCTTTTTCTTCACAAAGCCTTGGCTTGTGGCAACCGTGTGTCCAGTAAGTCTGTGGGTGCCATTTTTCTAATAGCATGGTTCATTTCTAAAAGTCTGGTAATTCTCACAAGATTTCAAGCTTTCATAATTTTGTTCCATGCTAAGGAAGAATGAGGCATACTTAAATTCATTTCAATTTTTTTTTTAATTTTATACTGGTTTACTTACAAAATTCATGTACATTGCTTTCCACACTGGATCTTTCCCTTTTCCTTTACTGACCTCTCCATCCACCCATCATACTGTGGAACCTTATGATTTAGTTGCCCCTTCCGCCCATTCTCACTCCCGCCTTAGATCCACATATTCATTCTACGGTAATGATCATATACAGAATTTGTCTTTATGAGACCGAGTTTGTTCACTTAAAATAACGCTCTTAAGTACCTCCCAACTTAAGCAGTAATTGACAAAGTCATTGTTCCTGTGTAATACATAGTGTTCCACTGTGTAAATGTGCTCTGATTTCTTCTCAATCTATTCAATTGTGGTTGGACATCTGGGCTGTTTTCATGTTCTTCCTGTGATGAATAATACTGCTATGAACTTTGGTGTATAAGTCTCTACCCTGACAAAATGAGAATTGAGGCACAGAGACTTGTATACCAATGTTAAATTGTTTTCTTAAGATTTTGTTTACAGAGAAATGTATGCCATTAAGCTATTGTTATTGCCAATTTATATTCAGTTGTAGTTATTAACAAAATTGCATGATGACTTTCATAGTAGATTTCATGTTAATCAGTTATTTTACAAAGGTACATATTAATATTTTATATTGAGAAAATTCTTTTCTTCATCTTTGTCATATGTATTAACAGTATGATAAAGATTTAGACTTATTCGATAGAAATGTTTGTGTAGAAATAGAAAACATTAAATTGTTGCTGTTGTCAGGTGCCATCAAGTTAACTATGCTATAGCAGCCATATGAAAAACAGATCTGAATTTCTTCCTATCTTGTGCTAACCTTACAATCTCTGACACACTCAAGCCAATTGTTGTAGTCACTGTGTCAATCCACCCTATTAAGGGTCTTCTTGTCTTTTTCCATCCCCCACCTTTCCAAACATGATGTCCTCATCAAGGAATATCCTTTCCCAGCAACAGGCCCAAGGTATGTGAAATGAAGCTTCACCACCCTTGCCTTCAAGGAGCACTCTGGTTGCATCTTATCCAAGGTATATCTATATTCTTTTGGCAGTCCACAGGATATTCAGTACTTTTCTCTAACAACATAGTTCAAAGGCATCAATTTTTCTTCTGTCATCCTTATTCGTTCTCCAGCTCCCAACAGCACAGTGACTGAAAAAACCATGCTATGAGTCAAGCACATATTGGTCCTCAAACTAACATCATTGCTCTTCAGTTGTTTGGAGAGGTCCCTGACTACAGACTTTCTCAGTGTAGTAAGCCTCCGGATCTCCTAACTGATGGCAACAACCATACTGATTATGGATCCAAGTAAGATGAAGTTGTTGACAGTTTCAATCTTTTTTCAATCTATTACGACGCCACCTATTGGTCCAGGGGTAAAATTGTTGCTTTCTTGATGCTATGATCTATATTGAATACTGCATTATGCAGTATGCATTATCGCTAACACTTATTGGTCTATGCTCTTGAGTTAAGTTTCACCTCATAGAGACTCCTTTTGGCAGAGCACAATGGCCCAGTAGAGTTTTTTTAGGTTGTAACCTACTTTTTGTTATGTGCCATCAAATTGCCAATAACTTATAGTGACTCTATGGACAATGGCTCTGAACCATGCCCTATCTTGAGCCAGTCTCACTGACTCCAACACAACTAAATCCAGTAATCATGTCAATCCATATCCTTCAGGGTCTCCCTCTCCTGCACTGTCTCTCCACCCTTCTAAGCATAATGTTCTTCTCCAAGGACTGGTTCCTCTTGGCCACATGTCCAATGTATGTGAGATGGAGCTACAAAATCCTTGCATCCAACGAGAAACTTGATTTCACCCTCTCAAAGACAGAGTTATTTGTTCTCTTGGTGGTCTGCAATATGTACAATATTCTTTTTCAGCACCACAATTCAAAGGCATCAATTCTTCTGTCATCCTGAGACGTTTTCCAGCTCTCTGAGGCATACATAGCAAATAATTGTGATGACCGTACTGGGATCAGGTGCATTTTAGTCTCTAGACTGACATCATTGCTCTTTAGCACTTTGGAGAGGTCCATGAAAGCACACTTCCTCAGTGCAATTCATCTTTTGATTTCCTGATTGTTGGTGAAGAGTGTTGATTGTGGAATCAAGGAAGCTGAAATTGTTAACAACCTCAATCTCTTCTCCATCTACCATGATTCTATCATTTGGCACATAGGTAAGGATCTTTGAAATCTTCTTAATGTTAAGCTGCAATCCACATTGAAGATTACAGTTGTTGACCTTCTGCAGCAAACACTTCAGGTCCTTCTTTGTTTGGGCAAGCAAGGTTGTATCAGCTGTATAATGCAGTCTGGTGATGATTCTTCTCTAATCCTGATGCCACATTCCTCTGCATTAAGCCCAGCTTCCCAAATGATCTGTTCTGCAGATTGAAATGGTATGGAGAAAGGACATATCCCTTTCCTAATTTTCCTATACAGTGTTGGTTGCTCTGTTTCATGACTGCCTCCTGGTCCAAGTACAGATTTCCCATGAACACTAACATGTGTTCTGGGATTCTCATTCTTCTCAAAGTTAGCCACTATTTGTTGTGATCTACACAGTCAAAATGCCTTTGCACAGTCAATGAAACACAATTAGCCATTCTTCTGGTACTCTTTGCTTTCAAACAAGATCCATCTAACATTGGCACTATGTCTCTAGTGCCACAGCTTCTTCTAAACCCAGCTTGTATTTCTGGTAGTTCTCTGTTAATGTATTGCTAACAATTATTTTTTTAAATTATCTTCTTAAGAGGAACAAATTGCTAGGTCTTTTTCTTACCAACTTTTTTGGTTGGCAGATTAACACGTACCTGCTCCATGAGCACTTATTACCAAAACCTAGTGCCACTCACAGAGACTCTTCATCAGGTTTCTAAGAGTGTAAATCTTTACCAGAGGAGATTGTCTTTCTCCCAGACAGCAGATTGTTACACTGCTTAGTGTAGTTTAGTAACAGTGCCACAACTTAACACTCTACACCACCTGTTGTTCTATACCATCGAGGCAAACTGGCCCACAGCTGATGCTCCAGTGGATTTTCAGAAGCAGTTAATCACATGGGAGACTGCCCAGCCTTCTCCTGTGGAGCAGCTGGTGGCCTTAGAGGGTGTGCCTTCGAGATTACAGTGCAGTTATTTGCCACTAGGCCACCAGAGCTAGATCTAGTATTTACCAAACAAGCAAATAAAACAACTAACCAACTGCCATGGAGTAGATTCTGACTCATAGCAACCGCGCAGGAGAGACAACTTCCTCAAATATTAATCTTTCTGACCCTTCTTTCTTCCATAGATCAACTGATAGGTTTGAACTGCTGACCACTACAGTTAGCAATTAAGCACTTAACCACTACTTTACCAGAGCTCCTGTATCAGATTTTCATTATTCACCAGTTTTTGCTTTAAGTATCATACATATGTCATCTTTTTGGTTCCTTTCAATGTTACTAAATTTCAGTATTATCTCCACTTTACATATTGAGGAAATTGAGAAACCAAGAGTCTGGTAAGAGATTAGTGGGTAAAGAGTTGATAAGAGAGGCCTACTGGGTAAAGAGAGAGCTGTCTTGGCCTTGTGGTAAGAAGCTGTGCTGCAATCCCAAAGGCATGCAGTTCAAATCCACCAGCTGCTCTGCAGAAAAAAGATGGGCAATGTCCTCCCATGGGATTAAGTGCCACTAGAAACCCAGTAGAGGGTCAGCAATAGGTCAGTTCTCACTCAACAATACACAAGAAAAACACTGGGTAAAGAGTTGGTCTCTCAGTCCAAAGGTGGGTGTTTTGAATCCACCAGCTGTGCCGTGGGATAATGGGATAAGGATGAGCGCTCTCCTCCCATGAGATATATAGTCTCTGAAAATCTGCTGGTGGGTCAGCTATGAGTTTGTTCTGACTCAACATATAACAACAACAGAGGTTGATGAATCAATTAATGGTCACTGGTGAAGACAGACTGGCTGATTTCTTTGACATTCTATGAGTGAAATTGCACTTTGACATTCCTAACTGTTCTCCAACAGTGTTAATCAAATGTATGTGTTGCAAGAATACATGTATCTTATGAAAATTGTTAAAGTCTGGGGCCATATAAAATTTCACAAGAGTGTATTTTAATACTGCATGAATCTAATTCAGATATCAAGATTATCATTGCCCTCAAATGTGACTAAAAAAGATAATTTTCTTTTTCCCAATCTGATTACAGCTAGGATATTAGTAAATCATTGCTTAAATTTCAAACAAAAATTCAGGATATGTAAACATACTCAATTTAGAAATGCGAAGAAAAATTTCCGTTACAATGCTTGCTAATCCAAAACAATGAAATTCAAATTTAAAAGTTTACTTTTTTCACCTTATTGCTTGTGTGTAGTTTATCATTCTATTCCATCAAGTGAAGAAAAAGAAATATAGTGTTACTTACTCCAAAATTCCATAGTTTTTCATCATATCCTTGATGTGATCTGTGTATTCTATATATTGTCCCATATTTTCTTCTTTTTCAATGGATTTGAGGATAGGTGTATTAACAAAGCCCGGGCAGATGGCATTCATTCTCACACCACTGTTCATGAGATTAGCAGCCATCTGTCAATTAGAAGAAGAATGTTGAAGGTTTAAGCAGTTTAATAAATGTACAACATAAGGCAAACTGATAATTAAAGCTATTTCAATATCGCGGATATAGATATCCTTCCAACTCCACAGCAATAACAATGCCAGGGCTAATTGGAAAGCAGAAAGAAAGTAAAAGAAAACAAAGCTAAAGTGCCAAATTTAGCAAAACTAATTTTTAAAATATCAGTTATATTGGATAACCCCTGGAAAGTAATAATTTATCAATGTTGTCTTTATCTTACTATCCAGCACAGTATTAACTGAACTATGTGAAAATCTGAAGCTAAAAAATAGGTTTAGAATTAAGTCTCAAGTTTACTTTTAAAGTTTGGAAACATATAACAAAGAATATTTTCTTTAAAAACACTATCAGTAGAAATTTTTAGGGATGTCATGCTTGGGAGGGTGGAAAGTTATTCGGTAAACTGTTGTAAAAACTATGTCATTAAATAATCCTCAACAACACTACACCATCAGAAAAAGAACATATATTTTCAGGCTGGCATTCTTTGACTTTAGGTTAAAGATTTTTTTAATCTTCACTTAAAGGTAAAATAACTTTGCAGTTTTATAATTTTAATATAAAAGCTGACATTTAAGATTTATTCTGCTTTGTAAAACCTTTGAGTTCACAAAAGCTAAATTTAAAAAAAATTATTTTTGTCAAGTAAACAGAAATTTCCAATCCATTAGAACGATGAGTTTCAGTTTATCATTTTTTTAACTTTAGTATTTAACAATCACATATCTACTTTAACTATCCTTCAGTAGTTCATCTGTTAATATTACTTTTTCCATCTCCTATGCTCCTTTTACATCGGGATGGATGTGTCAGAGGCAGTGAGATTGGCACAGGAAAGAGCAGGGTTTAGGGCTGTTGTACATAAGGTCGCTGTGAGTCGCAAGCGACTCGACGGCACATAACAACAACAACAACAATGCTCCTTTATCTGATCTCAGCTGTTGCAGAGGCCTCTCAACTCTCCCTTCTGCTTCTCCACTTGTTCTCTAGTACATTATCCAAATAACAGCTAACATGATCTTCTGAAAACAAAAACTGGCCTTTTAACTCCTGTGTTTAAGAAACCCATTGATGTCTGCACTTAGAAGGAAATCTAATTCACGACCCTGGCACACAAGCCTTTTTTTGACCCTGCAATACATGCCTTTTATGATCTGGGCCTTTTTCTATTTCTACTTATCTGACTCGGGATACTACATGTTCGTAAGCACTATACAGGCTTCACTCCAGCACTCTACGGATACATCATCCCATAAACACTCTGGGCAGTAAACCATTGCCCCACCCCTCTCTCTAAGTTCTTGTAGTTTACTCTCATCAACGCTGTATTAAGTAACATCTGGAATATACTGCATGTTACGTTTATAGACTGCATAGTTGATAATTTATAAATTTGGAGCTAAATTAAAAACGAAAGTCTATCTCCTTATTATAATGTTATCCTTAGGGTTTCCGCCTCCAATAACACATCTATATTTAGAATAGATTTTACTTTAAAATTATTACTTATCTGGTCATTTATGGGACCTAAAAATTATGTATTATAATAAAAAAATTAGTAGTATTTTTCTAGCTTTGAATAAACTCATTAAATCCAGAATTCATTTCCTTCTAAGTGATAAAACTCACGTCTCAAACAAAGACAGAGAAGTAAAGGGAGATTGGGAGACGGTAATAGGCTCACCGCAGCTGAGCGTGTGAATCCAATGATGCCATGCTTTGAAGCACAATAAACAGGCTGTTGTGCAACAGGCATGAGCCCTGAAACAAATAAGCAAACAAACAAGAAAAAAAATTAAAACCATTTAAATAATTTTATAAATAAACTAAACAAAACTATATCCAATAACTACCCTTTGGATAATTAATGTATCCACATATCAATGCTGGAGAATGACATAATCGCTTAAATATAGTGATAATTCAAATGATCACTAGAAACTTTGTAAAACCAGGCTTGGCTCAAATTACTCTTTCCCTCTGCTGTGTTATACAGGATGTATTGGAGGTAAATTATGGCTAAGAAGAGAGCCAAGTTATTAAGCATGTTTTTTCTTTTAAGAGAATTTAATATTCTTCAACACACAAAACAAATCATCTTTAAATAAAATAAATCTACATCTAAGTACAATTTTAAATTTTAAATCTGTCTTCTACATTTTTTTATGTAGTTTAAGAGCTGGAAGATTAGTATGTCTGCATCATGAGTTAATAATGCTGTACTTCATCATTCTCAGTCTGGATCCAATGATGCCACTAAAGGAACATTAACTTCTTTTGATGTTGCTTTACAGTAAATGCCTGGGTCAACTCAACTTATGACTTGAGGGGAGGAAAAAACCAAACAGGACCTATGGTTCTATTTTATATTTATGTCACAACAGCAGATTTCAAACAATTTTACAATTTGGTTTAATTGTGCACATAGATACATGAATAAGGTTTTAATAATATGATGAAAGTTATGGCCTAGATTAAACTAGCGTTATAATATGTAGAACATATTTTTTCTCTCCTGTCTCTGAGCTCAGTCCTAAACTTCCAAACAGAAACAAAATGAGAAAATTCTACCTCCCTATCACTGTATAGCTTATTTATCACACTTGACAATTTCCTATCTAAACATCACTCAAATTTTAACTAGTGTCATTTTGCTATTTCATGATTTTAAATAATTTTCTGGACACAACATGCTTTAATGTCTCTTTTTTTAAAAAAAATAATGATTTCTCTGAGTCAAGAAACAGTGGTCCCTAATTACTGTAATGTTATTAATATCAAATGTCATGCTAATAACATGAGATCATTCTGCTGAGGCATACTATCTCCACCCAGCTAACTAGTCTCAGAACGTCACCAGTAAGTTGGGCACATGGTGCCAAAGTTCAGCAATAAATGTTGGCCTTAACCACTCCCTAGGTGCCTGCCAGGTCTCAATTTATAAAGTATGTTTTCTCAAGAGCAGTTTAAGTCCTTGAGGTTGGTAGATCACACTACTGTGTCCACCCAGTGATCTCAAAATATTATGTTGGTTCTCCTTTTGTTTTGTTTTAGGTTGCATAAAACGTGTTAATTAATTTATCAAGTGTCAGTCAACAAGAATTTATGATGGCGCCATAGTGTACATAGGTGTTTCAGGAGCACAACATTCATCAAATAAATAAATAAATGTAGCAAGATGTTGCTTTTTCTGGTTCTAAGTTCCTGCTTTACTCTTTTTAAATGTTTGTGAGACAAAAGTAGTGGTTACAGGGTAGTGTTGCTACTGCATGAAATTTTGTGTGCCTTAGCCAGAGATAAGCTGGGTGACACAGCCACAACAAACATATAGTCACTGTTCATAAATTTTGCAAAGATGAACTTGGCATTAATTTTTGCAACATTAGTAGGAGGTGCTGAACTTTTGAACCCAAGCTGGCTCTAAGTGTTACAGAAGTGAAATAAAGATGGTTTTGATGACTTTGCTAAGAAGCAAGAACAAATTAAAGAATTTCCTTTAAAGGTGCAATTGCAATGACTACCAGAATAGGAAAGAGCTTTCTTGTAAAAACAATCCTTGGTTTTATGGATATTGTTTTAACACTAGAATAGTATTTTCACTGCACGGTCAACACTCTTGGCACCAGTAGCCAGGAAATAAAAAAACGTATTGCGATGGGAAAGTCTGTGGTTAGGGACCTCTCCAAAATACTCAAGAGCAACAGTGTCTCTCTGGAGACTAAGGTCTGCCTGATACAGGCCATGGTTTTTGCAATCACTTGTTATGCATCAGAGAGTTGGACAATGACTAGGGAGGATACAAGGAAAATTGACGCCTTTGAGCTGTGGTGCTGGAGAAGAGTATTGAATGTACCATGGGCTGCCAAGAAAACAAACAGATTATTCCTAGAGAGGATTAAACCAGGCTGCTCCTTGGAGGCAAGGATTCTGGGGCTTCGTCTGACATACTTTGGACATGTTGTAGAGAGAGACAGGTCTTTAGAGAGGGACATCATGCTGGGTCGACAGCGCAGAAGGGGAAGGCCTTCTATGAGGTGGATCGATTCAGTAACTGGGGTACTCGGGATGGGTTTGTCAGAGGCAATGAGATTGGCACAGGATAGAGCACGGTTTAGGGCTGTTGTACATAGGGTCGGTATGAGTCGCAAATGACTCGATGGAACATAACAACAACAACAACAACAATAACATTCTGCAAAATGTTTAGCCTTGCATTGCCTCACTCTTTGTTTCATGTTAGATCAAGACTGCATAAATCAATTATAGGCAGTTGTAAATTAAACTTCCTATTTTGCTTTTTTTCCCCCTGAAAAATTTTAATAAAGTATACTTTGTGAAAAGTATACAGGTTCAAATTGTCTTCCTGTCAAACATTCTTCTAGGTGGTATATAGCACTGGTCTGTGCATTGCTGTACAGAGGTAACTCGTAGTTGCTGTGATGCTGAAGACTGTGACAGTGATGTGCCAACCGTGGTAATGGGCACCTATGGTGGACAGTGTTGGCTGGAGCTTCCCGACTAAATCAAGCCTGGAAGCAGGAGCGGCATCCACTTCCAAAATGGCTTGCCTCTGGAAACTCTATGTACGAACAGTGCTCAGGCTGTTCAGTCATAGGGTCGCTATGAGTCGTCTACGACTCGACGGCATTAAACAACAACAACAACATACTTTGTGACACAGTTGTTATTCTTGTTGAGTACGAATGAGTCAGAATCAACCCATAGTTGACTCTCCAATTGGTTTTCAGAGGCAGTTAATCACACAGGAGAGGACTGCACATCTTTCTCCCAGAGAGCTTCTGGTGGATTCAAACTGCATGTCTTCAGGATTGCAGCACAGATTCTTACCACTAGGGCCACCAGAGCTCTTTTGTGACACAGTAAATGGTATGTATTTCAAGTGTAAATGTCATGAATTTTAACCCATGCTAAATATGTTGAATAAAAGTGTGATGCCACAATCATAATCAAGGTAATAAGCATATCTATAACTTCAAGTTTCTATGTGCCTTTTCAAAAGAGTAACACAACAAAACCTCTCCCATCTTCCTGCTCCTATTGTTAATCTCCCAGAGATTTCCCTTCTGTCATCACAAAATAGCAACAGTGTCTATACTCTTATACAGACGTAAAAGGAATCTCATTCTTTTTTGTCTGACTTGTTGGACTTAGAATAATTATTCGTGATAAATCCATGTTATGATGTGTATCAAGAGCCTATGTCATTTTCCTTTATATGGTGACTACTATTCTGTTTTATCTTGTAGCTCTTAGGTGCTGTCGAGTCTAGTACGACACAGCATAGTATGTTCATAGCAACCCTATGAACAACATCTGAATCCTGTTCTATCTGCATCCTTATTATCCCTGAAACACTTGAGACATTGCTGCAGTGACTGTATAAATCTATCTGTATGAGGGTCTTCCTCTCTTTTGCTGACGCCTCACCTTTCCAAGCATGATGTCCTTTTCTAAGGAATAGACTTTCCTAACAACATGCTCAGAGTAAGTGAGATAAAGCTTCACCATCCTTGCCTCGAAGAAATGCTCTGGCTGCATTTTCTCCAAAGCATATCTCTCTTCATTCTTTTGTAAGTCCGTAGGATATTCAATACTCTTCTCTAACATCACATTGATTCTTTTTCTGTAACCCTTATTCATTGCCCAGCTATCAAATGCATAGCAGATGTTTGGAAAGACCGGGGCTTGACTCGGTCTCACTTTAGTCTTTAAACTGATATTACTGCTCTTGAAGACTTTGGGATTTCTCTGACGTCAGTCTCTCCTGACTATTGGTGCCAAGGGTGTTGAAAAATGTTCTACAGCTGCTCAGGTCAACAAATGATAGCTGCTCACCAACTACTGGGCTAAATATAAAAAATTCACCTCGAAAAACTCACTGTAATAGAATCAGAACTAATTCATAGCGGAGCTTCCTGCAGGTTTCTGGGACTGTACGTCACAAGCCGGAGATGCCCCATCTTTCTCCCTTGAAGATGATGGTGGATTTGAACTGCCTTGTAGGTATAGATTTTGGTTTACCAGTGCAAATTGCTATGGATTGTGCCACCAGAGTTTCCTAAATATAGAGAACCATTTAAAATACCTAAAGTTACATATTAACATAAGTATCTTCTTATGTTAACTTTCTAAATAACCTAAGTCATTTCAAAAAGCAAATATATTTTCCAATTAGTTCTTATATCCTAATATCTTTCCTAACCATATTTTTAAGTATTACCCTTAATTTCTTCATCCAATAAAAGGCAAAATTCCCAGGAAGATTTTTAGTAAGTAAGGAAACCCACTTGGACAGGGAAATTTATTCTGAATTAGCATGTACCTCAAAATATACATAAGCCATGTAAAATGAACCTTATGTATGTGCTAAAAAACCCCTAAAGCTGGTAAAATAAGCTGAGACTCTATGATAGCTTGATCTAAGCAGTTGTGATATAAAGCAAGAAACAGAATCTCTCACATTTTTTATAACCAAAAACTGAAAGTGTCTATTTTTGGACATATTTTTGTCCTTAGCCACTACTTCTTTAATATAACAGAAAAAAGAGAAGTGGTGAGAATCTATTTATCTATGTTCATGTAAAATGCTGACTGAAAAAACCAATGGACTTCCTCTTCATTTTGTGGATTTTTCCACAACATACAACAGTTTATTTGATTCCAGTTGTCCTCTTTTCTCCTGTTTGGCATTGCTAAGCCATATTTAAAAAAATAACAGTGATAGAGTTTCATAAAACAGA